AGCACCATCAGGAGCAAATCTCTCTGGCTTGACAGCAAAGCTGAGCAGCAAATCTTAAAGCTTCAAGGAGAGAATAATTCCTGACGAAGTATCTGAATATTTGCTTATTTTTCGCCAGCTTGTGACTGTAGAGTCCAACTTGTAATTTTCATCCATCCTGTTACTGCAGAGGGAGCGCTCATGCTGCCAGCAGTGATTAATTTTAAATTGAAATTACTTTTACCTATGGTAAGATCAAGTGATGGACAAGAAGAGGGAGAGGATGAGGGGAGAGATTCACAGTTTGGGGATCTGTTACTGTTTGCAGCTCTCTCTGCGGACTGGACAAGCTCAAATGTATGAGATATTCATGACAGAGGAAAAAAAGAAAAAAAAAGAAAACAGTGGGGATGGTCATAAATTAATAAACTCTTAAATAATTAGGAAGAGTTAAAGAAATGAGAGAATGGGCTTTTAGGGCTTACCAGCAATTACTGTCTGATGAAAATCTGATTTTTCCCCCTGTAACTTATCATTCCTGGCTGGGTGAAATCCTAGGCCTCTTGAAGTCAATAGGAGCTTTGCCACTGGCTTTCTCCAGGCCAGGGGCTGCGTCCCTGCTCCGTCAAATGGGCTGTTTCAGAGCCTTCAGTGCCTGGCAGGCACTGCCCCTGCCCTGGCAATAGCTCATACAAACCATTGCCACCCTACGGGTCCCCTTAAATATTCCTCTGCCTTTCGTGATGGGATGGTGACAGCAGATTAATGGGTTTAGGAGGGAGGGTGGCGTTTGTTTCTCAGAGCTGGTTGTTGTGTAAGAGGGACGAGTACCAACTTTTCTCGTTTATGTTGGACAATGGATTTATCTTGGCCAGCGGGAGGAAGTTTTACCTACATGCGAGAGCTTTTCCACAAGGCTTTATATGTCATTGTTCAAGAAATGTACAGATATTCAGGGATTGCTTACAGACAGGTCATGCTAACTTTCCTTTCTTGATTTTATTAGCAGGCGTTCTTATTGTATGAGGATGCCTGCTTGGTTGCTTAAGCTGTCTAGAGATAGTTAATTCTACATGAATACAAATACATATATAGGGACATACAGAGACATTCACAGTTGAGGGTATGATTCCCCCAAACGAACAAAGGTAAGAGCAGCAAGGCGCTCGACCTGTGACTGAAATCTATGAAGAAAAAAAAAAATGAGAAAAATTTTGATTATCTGATCTGAAAATAAAATAGAAGAGGGGATGCAAGGCGGGACTCCAGGCTCTCATGGCCTAGCAAAGGTGAGAGAAAATAGACGAGCTGATCGTCACTGAGTCTTGTGTTTCAGAGGCCCAGGGCAGCACTTAATTTTTAAATTCCATCTTGTAAAATTAAGGTTAGCCTTTTTATTTAGTGGCATAGTCAATGTAATTTTAAAAAAATACTGAATTTGCTTACAGTTTTGAACTTGCAGTGAAAAGGGTAGTCTTAGGAATAAAAGATCATGCCTACTGGCTGTCCACAATTACTATCCCGGTAAGCAAAAGAGATATTAAAAAATACCGACCCATTTGGAGACTTCTGCTTTAGACAACATTTTCGTTACAGACGGTATCTACAGTACCCTCTGGGGTCAGAGATTAGCAATCAGTCATCTAACGGTAGAACAGAAATCTGCCAAATAACCTGAATCTACAGACAGACCTAGAACGCTTTGGTGAATAAAAACCACAGAGAGGGAACAAACCCTGTCCAGAGCTTCTCTTTCACTTTCAATCGTCAAATTTGTAAACTCCTTAAAATTAATTTCCCACCTCTGCCTCCTCACAGCCGTGACGGTGGTGATGACAAGGGGGGCAAATATAAGCCAGCCCCCGGGAATGCCCAGGTTTATGACTTCAGCGAGGCAGAGAGAGGCAGATTTCCCTGGCAGCCTACGTCACAACCCAACCCAGAATACTTTCCAAGAAGCCCCTTTTGCTGCGCCACCCAGCAACCTTCCCGTTAGGTCAGAATAAGCTGCCACTCCAATCTAAAAATAAATAAATAAATAAATAAAAATTTAAAAGAAAAAGAATATTGCTCACCCAAGCCAAATGCCCGGGCAGGAATATTTTTAATTGCCGGGTTTCCTTTCTCGGCTCCCCCTCCCCGCCGCCCCACGCACAGACAAAAGAAGCTTAGCTTGCGTGACCCAGAGCATAAGAAGTAAGAATAATGATACATGAAGAGAGTTCGATAGGCAAAACCTACTTGCAGCCAACAGTCCCCATCTTCTTAAATAGGAAAAATCTGTCGCTCCTGCCACCACCAAGCACAATTGCTCGCCCGCTGTCAGACCCGCGCTGAGCCCTGCAGCTCCAGCGCCTGCCGGGGGACGCCACGCTACCCTGGCCCATCGCACCCCGGAGTTTTAAGCCTTATGGGCTGCGGGATATCGTGCGACCCCGGCGAGAGTCACGGCGTACACCCCTGCCCTCCGTCCTGCGGAACCCCCTCTCCCTTTGTGGAGCATCCTCTCTCCCTGCCGCCCTTTACGGTCGCAAGCCCGGCGCGCTTCACAGCCAGCCGGGCGCCTTCATGCCGCTCAGCGGCTGAGGGGCTGCGGGCT